AATTACCTGCAAAGCACAAATGTAATCTAATCTAAGACTAGTATTTGGCTCAAATCACTGCTTGTTCCCCTCATTTCTGTCTCCTTTTTTTTTTTTCAAAAAAGGAGGAGGTTGCCGACCCCTGGCCTAGGCTGACAAGCAATGTCAATTCAGAAATCATATTTGACACTGGATAACATACATCTGTACCTGCTTTTCATTTGGAGGCTGCAAGCGGTAACATCCTTCATCTCCCTGCTTTGTTTAAGTCCTTCAGTTCACTGATGTAACCTGGTTTAAAACCAAAATAATCCCAGATGGGTGATTCTGCATTTGCTGAAAATGAGACGGGGAGTGGCGGGATCTATCTGTTTACTTAGTTTAGTCTTAAGCCCTTTTTCCATTAGTACCTACTTGGATCAACTCAGCACGGTTCGCCACGGTTTTCAGCGTTTTCCATTAGGTCATAGTAGCTGGTACCAGATACTTTTTTAGTACCCGCTCGACCGGGGTTCCAAGCGATCCCAGCAGGCACTAAAGTGTGACATCATCAGACTGCATGCCACTGACTGGCTGGTCAGTAGCATCACTCGATGAGTCAAGAAAGCCTCTCGTTCATGACAATTAAAACAGCCATTTTTGAAACCCAGCAACTAAGGAAATGGTTAAAACAACGCCATGGTCCCCCAGTCAGACGAAAAGTCACAGACCGAGCAGCAGGTTTTACTTTGACGTCCACCTTTTTTGTAGAGTTCGTGTGCCATATTAATAACATTGTGGGACGCTCGGACACGTTTCTGTCACGACAACCACGCACATTCGCTAGTACCAGATTGTAGTGGAAAACCAGTCAATCCAAATCAAGTCATGGCGATCCGTGGCGAATGGCAAAGGGGCTTTAGTTATCTATCTCCAACTACAACATATAGCTAATGTTCATTCAAAAGTCAATATTAATATTTAGCCAATGAACCAAAGTAAAAGACTGACTGTTTAAATTGATGACGGCTAAATTTGGCTAAACTTTTCGGTCAATGACAGGGATTAATGTTAGGTCGGTGTGCATCCTGAGGGAGGAATGAATGCACGGTACGGTAATCCGTTAGAAAGAATCTTCTTTAGGATTCTAGGTTTTTAGGATTCATCCTCTGGGGATAAACTTTTCCAAATTCTGACCAGAACTTTGAAGTTACATAATTAGTTGACCAAAAGAGAATCTGTCATCATTTTTGATTGTCATTAACTGTTGAAGCTATTTAAAAAGCCAGAATACCTAAAGAGCATTTCATCCCACCTTAATAAGATGCAAGCAGAGAGTTCCCCATGCGGCTATGAAGGTCATTCATTACTATTTTGTGACCTTTTAAGGGTCAAATAAGTAACAGATAAATTTACCATGAAAGAATTAGTGAGCTAGATTTAAAGCCTTACCACCCAGTTTAATTTGCTTGCTCATTTTTACATACAGAGAGATTTATACAGAGGGTTTGCATCCACCACCGAGCAGAAAAGGTTGAAAAGATCCGATTCCAGAAGTCATTCTTGTGTTAACAGTATTCTCTGTTTATCCCTAATAATGTATTTTTTGTGAAACATACAGCGAGTAGTGATAAATCAGTGTGTGAGAGGCAGGCTGGCCTATTTTATTTTGATTTTTTGTATAAATGAGTTTAAAAAAAACTGAAGAGAAAACCCTGTCAGATCTGAGTCAGACAACCTATTAACGAGTATACTATATTTCCCACCGCTACCTCCTTGTTGAGACTGAACATCGCATCCTTCCTTCCTCGCTTAAGACAGAGGCGCACGAGAAGGTAAGAGCATCAGGAGGAAGCAGATAAAAGAGGAGTTTAAGGTGCACGAGCGAGGCAGGAA